TGAATTTTTTTGAATACTGAAATTTTTGACAATTGAATTTTTTCGACAATTGAATCTTTTTGACAATGAAGTTTTCGAAAGTTGAATTTTTTTACAATTGAATTTTTTTGACAATTAACTTTTTCAACAATTGTATTTTTTTAAAAACCGAAATTTTCGATAAATGTAATTTTTTGACAATTAAATTTTTTCGACAATGAATTTTTTTGAATACTGAAATTTTTGACAATTGAATTTTTTCGACAATTGAATCTTTTTGACAATGAAGTTTTCGAAAGTTGAATTTTTTTACAATTGAATTTTTTTGACAATTAACTTTTTCAACAATTGTATTTTTTTAAAAACCGAAATTTTCGATAAATGTAATTTTTTGACAATTAAATTTTTTCGACAATGAATTTTTTTGAATACTGAAATTTTCGACAATTGAATTTTTTCGACAATTGAATCTTTTTGACAATGAAGTTTTCGAAAGTTGAATTTTTTTACAATTGAATTTTTTTGACAATTAACTTTTTCAACAATTGTATTTTTTTAAAAACCGAAATTTTCGATAAATGTAATTTTTTGACAATTAAATTTTTTCGACAATGAATTTTTTTGAATACTGAAATTTTTGACAATTGAATTTTTTCGACAATTGAATCTTTTTGACAATGAAGTTTTCGAAAGTTGAATTTTTTTACAATTGAATTTTTTTGACAATTAACTTTTTCAACAATTGTATTTTTTTAAAAACCGAAATTTTCGATAAATGTAATTTTTTGACAATTAAATTTTTTCGACAATGAATTTTTTTGAATACTGAAATTTTCGACAATTGAATTTTTTCGACAATTGAATCTTTTTGACAATGAAGTTTTCGAAAGTTGAATTTTTTTACAATTGAATTTTTTTGACAATTAACTTTTTCAACAATTGTATTTTTTTAAAAACCGAAATTTTCGATAAATGTAATTTTTTGACAATTAAATTTTTTCGACAATGAATTTTTTTGAATACTGAAATTTTTGACAATTGAATTTTTTCGACAATTGAATCTTTTTGACAATGAAGTTTTCGAAAGTTGAATTTTTTTACAATTGAATTTTTTTGACAATTAACTTTTTCAACAATTGTATTTTTTTAAAAACCGAAATTTTCGATAAATGTAATTTTTTGACAATTAAATTTTTTCGACAATGAATTTTTTTGAATACTGAAATTTTCGACAATTGAATTTTTTCGACAATTGAATCTTTTTGACAATGAAGTTTTCGAAAGTTGAATTTTTTTACAATTGAATTTTTTTGACAATTAACTTTTTCAACAATTGTATTTTTTTAAAAACCGAAATTTTCGATAAATGTAATTTTTTGACAATTAAATTTTTTCGACAATGAATTTTTTTGAATACTGAAATTTTTGACAATTGAATTTTTTCGACAATTGAATCTTTTTGACAATGAAGTTTTCGAAAGTTGAATTTTTTTACAATTGAATTTTTTTGACAATTAACTTTTTCAACAATTGTATTTTTTTAAAAACCGAAATTTTCGATAAATGTAATTTTTTGACAATTAAATTTTTTCGACAATGAATTTTTTTGAATACTGAAATTTTTGACAATTGAATTTTTTCGACAATTGAATCTTTTTGACAATGAAGTTTTCGAAAGTTGAATTTTTTTACAATTGAATTTTTTTGACAATTAACTTTTTCAACAATTGTATTTTTTTAAAAACCGAAATTTTCGATAAATGTAATTTTTTGACAATTAAATTTTTTCGACAATGAATTTTTTTGAATACTGAAATTTTTGACAATTGAATTTTTTCGACAATTGAATCTTTTTGACAATGAAGTTTTCGAAAGTTGAATTTTTTTACAATTGAATTTTTTTGACAATTAACTTTTTCAACAATTGTATTTTTTTAAAAACCGAAATTTTCGATAAATGTAATTTTTTGACAATTAAATTTTTTCGACAATGAATTTTTTTGAATACTGAAATTTTTGACAATTGAATTTTTTCGACAATTGAATCTTTTTGACAATGAAGTTTTCGAAAGTTGAATTTTTTTACAATTGAATTTTTTTGACAATTAACTTTTTCAACAATTGTATTTTTTTAAAAACCGAAATTTTCGATAAATGTAATTTTTTGACAATTAAATTTTTTCGACAATGAATTTTTTTGAATACTGAAATTTTTGACAATTGAATTTTTTCGACAATTGAATCTTTTTGACAATGAAGTTTTCGAAAGTTGAATTTTTTTACAATTGAATTTTTTTGACAATTAACTTTTTCAACAATTGTATTTTTTTAAAAACCGAAATTTTCGATAAATGTAATTTTTTGACAATTAAATTTTTTCGACAATGAATTTTTTTGAATACTGAAATTTTCGACAATTGAATTTTTTCGACAATTGAATCTTTTTGACAATGAAGTTTTCGAAAGTTGAATTTTTTTACAATTGAATTTTTTTGACAATTAACTTTTTCAACAATTGTATTTTTTTAAAAACCGAAATTTTCGATAAATGTAATTTTTTGACAATTAAATTTTTTCGACAATGAATTTTTTTGAATACTGAAATTTTTGACAATTGAATTTTTTCGACAATTGAATCTTTTTGACAATGAAGTTTTCGAAAGTTGAATTTTTTTACAATTGAATTTTTTTGACAATTAACTTTTTCAACAATTGTATTTTTTTAAAAACCGAAATTTTCGATAAATGTAATTTTTTGACAATTAAATTTTTTCGACAATGAATTTTTTTGAATACTGAAATTTTTGACAATTGAATTTTTTCGACAATTGAATCTTTTTGACAATGAAGTTTTCGAAAGTTGAATTTTTTTACAATTGAATTTTTTTGACAATTAACTTTTTCAACAATTGTATTTTTTTAAAAACCGAAATTTTCGATAAATGTAATTTTTTGACAATTAAATTTTTTCGACAATGAATTTTTTTGAATACTGAAATTTTTGACAATTGAATTTTTTCGACAATTGAATCTTTTTGACAATGAAGTTTTCGAAAGTTGAATTTTTTTACAATTGAATTTTTTTGACAATTAACTTTTTCAACAATTGTATTTTTTTAAAAATCGAAATTTTCGATAAATGTAATTTTTTGACAATTAAATTTTTTCGACAAAGAATTTTTTTGAATACTGAAATTTTCGACAATTGAATTTTTTCGACGATTGAATCTTTTTGACAATGAAGTTTTCGAAAGTTGAATTTTTTTACAATTGAATTTTTTTGACAATTAACTTTTTCAACAATTGTATTTTTTTAAAAATCGAAATTTTCGTTAAATGTAATTTTTTGACAATTAAATTTTTTCGACAAGGAATTTTTTTGAATACTGAAATTTTCGACAATTGAATTTTTTCGACAATTGAATCTTTTTGACAATGAAGTTTTCGAAAGTTGAATTTTTTTACAATTGAATTTTTTAGACAATTAACTTTTTCAACAATTGTATTTTTTTAAAAATCGAAATTTTCGTTAAATGTAATTTTTTGACAATTTAATTTTTTCGACAATGAATTTTTTTGAATACTGAAATTTTCGACAATTGAATTTTTTCGACAATTGAATCTTTTTGACAATGAAGTTTTCGAATGTTGAATTTTTTTACAATTGAATTTTTTTGACAATTAATTTTTTTGAATACTGAAATTTTCGACAATTGAATTTTTTCGACAATTGAATCTTTTTGACAATGAATTTTTTTGAATACTGAAATTTTCGACAATTGAATTTTTTCGACAATTGAATCTTTTTGACAATGAATTTTTTTGAATACTGAAATCTTTCACAATTGAATTTTTTCGACAATTGAATCTTTTTGACAATGAAGTTTTCGAAAGTTGAATTTTTTTACAATTGAATTTTTTTGACAATTAATTTTTTTGAATACTGAAATCTTTGACAATTGAATTTTTTCGACAATTGAATCTTTTTGACAATGAAGTTTTCGAACGTTGAATTTTTTGACAATTAAATTTTTTCGACAATGAATTTTTTTGGAATTCACAAATTTACAATCTAGAAATTTAAAAAATTACAATTTTTTTGAAACTCGTAAAGTTATAAACTTAAAAATTATAAAAATCACAATTTTGAAATTTTTCTTAAAATTCACAAAATTACAATTTTAATATTTTCTTGGAATTCACAAGATAACAATCTTAAAATTCACAAAATTACAGTTTTGAAATTTTCTCTAAATTCACAAAATTGCAATCCTAAAATTCTACAATTTTAAAATTCATTAAATTGCAATTCAAAAATTGTCTTAAAATTAACTAAATTACAATCTTGAAATTCACAAAATTACAATCTTAAAATTTACAAAATAACAATTTTTTTGAATTTCACAAGATTTCAAAGGATTACAACTTTTTTAAAACTCATTTAAGTTACAATCTTAAAAATTCAAAAAATTACAATTTTCTAATTTTTTTGGAATTCACAAATTTACAATCTAGAAATTCACAAAATTACAATTTTAATATTTTTTGATAGTTTACTTAGGTACTTACTTTTTACACTTTTTGGTAATTGTACTGGTTTTAGTACATTCATTATTTTGGTTGTACTAGTTTCAGTACAACTATTTTTTGTTTCAAAACATACTTCACGTTTTTTAAAACCCATTTCATTACGATTCAACAAACGTACTAGTTTTAGTACAATTATTATTCAATTGTACTAAATCTACTATAATTATTTTTTGCTTTAAAGCATCATTGACGTTGTTAAATACACATTTAAACGATTTTAGCAATTGTACTACTTCTAGTACAATTATTTTTTGCTTTAAAATTTTGATTTGAATACACATTTAGAAACTTTCTTGCAATTGTACTAGTTTAAGTACAAATATTATTTACTCAGTATTTTAGTAAATTCTTGTCAGAAATTATTTCTGAGCCAAAGTTGAAATTTTCCAAAATTTCAGGGACTCGAAGATTTACATTTGGACGAGAGAATAATGCAATTTCTGAGCATCGCCAAACACGATGATGGCTCAGAACGCTGATCCGGCCGGCAAAAACCTCTACAGGGCCCGACACTATTCCGTAATACCTCTGGGTGAGTTTTTAAGGAAAATTAGAGTAAATGGCAACGTTGTACGAAAAAAAAAATTGAATTGGGTTACATCGTATTTAACTTTTTTAGGCAGATTTGGCAATGCCGATTTGAATTTAAACAAAAAAACACAGTTGCACTGTTGTCAAATTGTTGAAAAAATTCTAATTTTTTTTCCAAATATCAAAATGTTCCAATGTTGTCAAATTGTTGTAAAATTCCCATATTATAGGTCCACGATCCGGATTGATTTCGTGGGTAGACGGGACGACGCCAGTTTTTGCGCTCTACAAGCGCTGGCAACAGCGCGAATTGGCCAAACCCAACGCTAAAGGTAAGAATTTGTTCACAAATTTAAGCAATTTTCATAAAAATCTGAACCAACCTCCAAAAATTCGATTTTTCTTCATTTTTCTGAGCAACACCACAGTTCCTCGGCCTTCTGAGCTCTTTTACAACAAACTCGTTGAGCATGGAGTGAGCAACATCGAGAACCGCAAAGAGTGGCCTCTGGCGGTGCTTAAAGAAGTTCTGACAGAGCTCACAAACGAAACGCCCAGCGATCTGAGAATTGTGGTGCAACGCCGTGTCGGCCAATGCCTGGTGGCAAGTGGTCAAACGGTACTCGTACAGTGTTGCCGTCATGAGTATTATTGGTAAGTTTTTTGCAATTGTACTAGTTTTAGTACAATTCGAATTTACTTATAAACGTTATGAAAGACGCTTTTACAATGATTAAATTTTTTTTTTTTAGAAATTGTACTAGGTTTAGTACATCTTTCATCCACGAGTTTTTAGTACATTTTAAATGTATTAAAAAAAAACTTTTAATAATCTCCTATAAAATAAAAAAAAAATATATTTTTGGAAATTGTACTAAATTTAGTACAATTTTCAATTTTGGTTTTTTGATACATTTCAACTTGAATTTGAAAAAAAAATCATTTTTAAGTTATAAAACACACAACTTTTTTTTTTAAAGAAATTGTACTAGATTTAGTACATTTCATAACTTTGTTATTTTCCGGCCGATTTCGACGTAATTAGGCGTAAATTGAAACTAATTAAATTTTCAGTTTGTTTTATTTTTTTAAAGGTTACATTATTGGTTTGGGCGACCGGCACTTGGACAACGTCCTGATCGATTTATCCACCGGTGATGTCGTCCATCCACATTGACTACAACGTGTGCTTCGAAAAGGGGAAAACTTTGCGTGTGCCAGAAAAAGTGCCCTTCAGGCTTACGCCAAACATCAGAGACGCGCTGGGAGTTACAGGAGTCGAAGTAAGAAATTCAGTTATAAAATTGTAAATTTGGCAACGTCGCATGACTCTTGATTTCGTTTAAAATGGAGTGATTTCTCAGATGGATTGATTCTTTTGGAATTTACCCACAAAATATACATTTGGCAACGTCACATTACTATAATTTGAAAAATTTTAAAACACTCTTCTACAAATGATAAAATAATTTTAGTACATTATTTGATCTAGAACTTTGAACTCTAAAAAAATTCAAAAATTCAAAAATATAAAAAAACTTAAAAAGAATTCAAAAAACTTGAAAAATTAAAAAATTTCTAGAAAATTTACAATGTCCAAAAAATTCATAAATGTGGCAATTTCAAAAAAATTCAAAACTTTGAAAAAAATCAAATTAAAAATTCAAATTAAAAAATAGAAGGATTATAAAAATTCGAAAAAACAAGGAAAATTCAAAAATTTCCAGAAAATTTAAAATGTTGAAAAAATTCAAAAATTAAAAAAATATTGAAAAATTCAACAAAATTGAAAAGTTGAAAAATATGCAAAAATTTAAGAAATTTCAAAAAAATTCAAAACTTTACAAAAATTCATAATTTTGAAAAATTCAAAAAAAAATAAAACACAAAAAATTCAAAATTTCTTTAGAGTTGAAAATGTTGAAAAAATTCTAGAAAACATGAGTTAAAAAAAATTCAAAAAAATTTAACTTCAAAATGAAAGAATTTTAAAAAATTCAAAAACTTGAAAAATTCAAAAATTTCTAGAAAATTCAAAAGAACTCGACAGGTTCAAAAAAAAATTCAAAACTGAAAAAATCAAAATAAAAAATCAAACTGGGAATTGAAAGAATTTAAAAAAATTCAAAAAACAGGGAAAATTCAAATTTTTTTACAAAATTTGAATTGTTCAAAAATTCAAAATTTAAAAAAAAAAAACAAAAAATGTCAATCTGGAAAATGAAAGGATTGAAAAAAATAAATAAAAGAACATGGAAAATTCATAAATTTCTAAAAAATTCAAAATTTAAAAGTACTTGTTTATCAGTTTGAAAAAACTCAAAACTTTTAAAAAAAATCAAAATAAAATTTCACAAAAATTCAATGTGAAAAATGAAAGGATTTGAAAAAAAAATCAAAAAACATGAAAAATATTTGAATTTAGAAATCACCTAATAGGTGATTTCTAAAAATCTCAGTGACGTCATTATCAGTAGTTGTCTTATATCCTAGGCGGTTAAATGCCTGGAATTAAATAAATTCAATGACGTCACCATCAGTATTTGTCTTGTATCCTTAATAGCCAAATGCCTGGAATTATCGATCAATCAGATAATTTTAATGATGTTATCATCATTACGTGCCTTGCAATTTAATTCCGTGACGTCATCACTGATACTTACATTAAAAACTCAAATATAAATTTTTAAAATGCTAAAGTGGTTGCCCTAATTCCATAGCCACCTAGTAGGTGATTTCTAAAAATTTCAGTGACGTCATTATTAGTACTTGTCTTATATTCTAGGCAGTCAAATCGCTAGAATAATCAATTAAATATATTTAATGACGTCATCATCAGTATTTGTCTTGTATCCTTGATGGCCAAATGCCTGGAATTATCGATCAATCAGATAATTTTAATGATGTTATCATCATTACGTGACTTGCAATTTAATTCCGTGACGTCATCACTGATACTTACATTAAAAACTCAAATATAAATTTTTAAAATGCTAAAGTGGTTGCCCTAATTCCATAGCCACCTAGTAGGTGATTTCTAAAAATTTCAGTGACGTCATTATTAGTACTTGTCTTATATCCTAGGCGGTCAAATCGCTAGAATAATCAATTAAATATATTTAATGACGTCATCATCAGTATTTGTCTTTTATCCTTGATGGCCAAATGCCTGGAATTATCGATCAATCAGATAATTTTACTATTGTTATCATCATTACGTGACTTGCAATTTAATTTCGTGACGTCATCACTGATACTTACATTAAAAACTCAAATATAAATTTTTAAAAGGCCAAAGTGGTTGCCCTAATTCCATAGCCACCTAATAGGTGATTTCTAAAAATCTCAGTGACGTCATTATCAGTAGTTGTCTTATATCCTAGGCGGTTAAATGCCTGGAATTAAATAAATTCAATGACGTCATCATCAGTATTTGTCTTGTATCCTTGATGGCCAAATGCCTGGAATTATCGATCAATCAGATAATTTTAATGATGTTATCATCATTACGTGACTTGCCTTTTAATTCCGTGACGTCATCACTGATACTTACATTAAAAACTCAAATATAAATTTTTAAAAGGCCAAAGTGGTTGCCCTAATTCCATAGCCACCTAATAGGTGATTTCTAAAAATTTCAGTGACGTCATTATCAATACTTGTCTTATATCCTAGGCGGTCAAATCGCTAGAATAATTAATTAAATATATTTAATGACGTCATCATCAGTATTTGTCTTTTATCCTTGATGGCCAAATGCCTGGAATTATCGATCAATCAGCTAATTTTAATGATGTTATCATCATTACGTGACTTGCAATTTAATTCCGTGACGTCATCACTGATACTTACATTAAAAACTCAAATATAAATTTTTAAAAGGCCAAAGTGGTTGCCCTAATTCCATAGCCACCTAGTAGGTGATTTTTAAAAATCTCAGTGACGTCATTATCAATACTTGTCTTATATCCTAGGCGGTCAAATCGCTAGAATAATCAATTAAATATATTTAATGACGTCATCATCAGTATTTGTCTTTTATCCTTGATGGCCAAATGCCTGGAATTATCGATCAATCAGCTAATTTTAATGATGTTATCATCATTACGTGACTTGCAATTTAATTCCGTGACGTCATCACTGATACTTACATTAAAAACTCAAATATAAATTTTTAAAAGGCCAAAGTGGTTGCCCTAATTCCATAGCCACCTAGTAGGTGATTTCTAAAAATCTCATTGACGTCATTATCAGTAGTTGTCTTATATCCTAGGCGGTCAAATCGCTAGAATAATCAATTAAATATATTTAATGACGTCATCATCAGTATTTGTCTTTTATCCTTGATGGCCAAATGCCTGGAATTATCGATCAATCAGATAATTTTAATATTGTTATCATCATTACGTGACTTGCAATTTAATTCCGTGACGTCATCACTGATACTTACATTAAAAACTCAAATATAAATTTTTAAAAGGCCAAAGTGGTTGCCCTAATTCCATAGCCACCTAATAGGTGATTTCTAAAAATTTCAGTGACGTCATTATTAGTACTTGTCTTATATCCTAGGCGGTCAAATCGCTAGAATAATCAATTAAATATATTTAATGACGTCATCATCAGTATTTGTCTTGTATCCTTGATGGCCAAATGCCTGGAATTATCGATCAATCAGATAATTTTAATATTGTTATCATCATTACGTGACTTGCAATTTAATTCCGTGACGTCATCACTGATACTTACATTAAAAACTCAAATATAAATTTTTAAAAGGCTAAAGTGGTTGCCCTAATTCCATAGCCACCTAATAGGTGATTTCTAAAAATCTCAGTGACGTCATTATTAGTACTTGTCTTATATCCTAGGCGGTCAAATCGCTAGAATAATCAATTAAATATATTTAATGACGTCATCATCAGTATTTGTCTTGTATCCTTGATGGCCAAATGCCTGGAATTATCGATCAATCAGATAATTTTAATATTGTTATCATCATTACGTGACTTGCAATTTAATTCCGTGACGTCATCACTGATACTTACATTAAAAACTCAAATATAAATTTTTAAAAGGCTAAAGTGGTTGCCCTAATTCCATAGCCACCTAATAGGTGATTTCTAAAAATCTCAGTGACGTCATTATTAGTACTTGTCTTATATCCTAGGCGGTCAAATCGCTAGAATAATCAATTAAATATATTTAATGACGTCATCATCAGTATTTGTCTTGTATCCTTGATGGCCAAATGCCTGGAATTATCGATCAATCAGATAATTTTAATATTGTTATCATCATTACGTGACTTGCAATTTAATTCCGTGACGTCATCACTGATACTTACATTAAAAACTCAAATATAAATTTTTAAAAGGCTAAAGTGGTTGCCCTAATTCCATAGCCACCTAGTAGGTGATTTCTAAAAATTTCAGTGACGTCATTATTAGTACTTGTCTTATATCCTAGGCGGTCAAATCGCTAGAATAATCAATTAAATATATTTAATGACGTCATCATCAGTATTTGTCTTGTATCCTTGATGGCCAAATGCCTGGAATTATCGATCAATCAGATAATTTTAATATTGTTATCATCATTACGTGACTTGCAATTTAATTCCGTGACGTCATCACTGATACTTACATTAAAAACTCAAATATAAATTTTTAAAAGGCCAAAGTGGTTGCCCTAATTCCATAGCCACCTAATAGGTGATTTCTAAAAATCTCAGTGACGTCATTATCAGTAGTTGTCTTATATCCTAGGCGGTCAAATCGCTAGAATAATCAATTAAATATATTTAATGACGTCATCATCAGTATTTGTCTTTTATCCTTGATGGCCAAATGCCTGGAATTATCGATCAATCAGATAATTTTAATGATGTTATCATCATTACGTGAGTTGCAATTTAATTTTGTGACGTCATCACTGATACTTACATTAAAAACTCAAATATAAATTTTTAAAAGGCCAAAGTGGTTGCCCTAATTCCATAGCCACCTAGTAGGTGATTTCTAAAAATCTCAGTGACGTCATTATCAGTAGTTGTCTTATATCCTAGGCGGTCAAATCGCTAGAATAATCAATTAAATATATTTAATGACGTCATCATCAGTATTTGTCTTTTATCCTTGATGGCCAAATGCCTGGAA